GGGGGCGGGGATGAAACGATTAATATAGAATATAAAATAGAGTGATGGGCGACCACAACGACGGTGACATTGGATGGTTGAGTGCGGTATTCGAAAACGAGGCTCGTGAACTGGGTCCCAAAAAAAAAATGGTGCTACAGGATTTTGAGCCAGTGTTAAAAGATAAGGAATTTCTTAAAATGGACCGACTTTCAATGGCTTGCATTCGGTAACCCCATAAAAAATCGTGTAAAACTTTAGATATTCCAACGTAAATTTGGCCGTTCTTTTCATTTATATGGGTTTTCACTTATGAAAATGTCCAAATTATGTGTAAAATGACAGTTTTCCCCCAATTTATTTCGGAAATTTGCGCTAGACAGGGAGTCATCTGATTCACTCAACCGTAACGAGCCACCAGCTGGTAATGACGACACAGCCAACTGATGAGAATGGTCGTCGCCAGCCGAAAATTGGAAAAATTGGGACTGGCGAAAATATTCAATAATAATATAATAAGTCGATTACATTATTGAAGAATGAATCTTCTTCCAAAAAGATGTTTGCTGTTGGATAAGTCTTGGAAATGGTGATCTTAGAAGTGGCGTTAAAAAGGTTTGTTACCAACATGTCTTACCTGTGTAGGTATAGCCTAGCGTTGAGAATACGGAATACTACTCTACTGCCTGGCGCGACCTACCTAGGCCCCTAGTTTAGGCCTAGTCATACAATCTATAATAATTATTTCAAACATTAGAAAAAACAAACAACACTATTTTAAATAAAGTACATTAAATTACATATGATTAAATCCATGGAACTCTCTAGGCCCTCACCAATGTAAAATACGAACATCAACACGAACACCGTCATGTGTGGAGAGCCTGTTTAATAACACAACTATAAACTATAGAGGGCGCAGCCCATATATATGACATCTCCTTTTCTCAGTGATTAAACTTAGGCAAACTTGAACAGGTCACTTATTTGTTTTAGCCATTTAGCTTGCATTACGATCTGTGTGATTATTGCTGTAACTCATTATCCATTAAACTTCCTTTTCTGCATAAAAAGTTCAGTGTTTCTAATAGTTCTTTAATTATGAAAGTCTATTAAAATGTCTTTTTTTTTGCCTTTCTTTTATTTATCACTGTTAATTTTTTTTTCTTTCAACTTCTGATATATATTTTTAGCAAACTTCTTTTCTTCTATTTTCTAATTTATTTATTTACAAATCCAAATGTGTCGGTGGCTTGCTGATGCGTCCACTACGGGTTATGTAGTTTGGTTTGGTTACTTCTGGATTGGTTTTGGGTTGTTCTTTTTTTTGTCCTGGAGTAGCAAGGTCTGGTATTTACATTTTTACTGATGCAGTTTTTGTGTCGTTTGAGGTATGAGGTGCAAGGTCTATTTCTGGTTCGTGAGTGTTTCCTTTGTTTGCTGCACTTGTTGCTATTCGCAGGTGCTTTATGTTTCTGCGATACTTTCGTCCATTGTGTTCCACTACATATGATCGTGGTGATATGTGTGGTGCTCAATGACTGTTGCTGGGAGCCATTGTTTTGATCCTGGTAGAGGGGTCATTCGGACAGGATCTCCTGGTGTAAGAGCTGGAAGATTTCTTCCTGATTTCTTGTCGTAGTAGTATTTCTGCTTGGCTTTATCTGCCCTGAACCGTTGTGTAATGTCGGTGGTATTTTATGACTTTGGCTGGAGAAGTGATTTTGCTGTTGGTATTAGATTACGGGGTCTTCGTCCCATTAAGAGTTGGGCAGGTGATAGTTTACAACTGGAAAGAGGGGTTGTGCGGTAGTCTAGTAAGGCTAGGTCTTTGTCTGTACTTTTCTTCCATAGTCTTTTCACAGTCTGCACTGCTCGCTCTACCTTTCCATTAGATTGAGGATAATATGGCGAGGAGGTGTGATGCTGTATTTCGTAGTCTTTGCAGAATTTGGCGAATATTGCTGATGAGTATTGCGGACCGTTGTCAGTTCTCAGTATTTATGGTATGCCATGACGACTAAATTGCGCCTTTAGCTTGTCAACTACTGTAGAGCTGTCTGTCATAGGCAAATGATCAACTTCTATAAACTTTGAATAGTAGTCAATGGTGATCATGTAGTCTTGTTGTTCAAACTCAAAGAGATCACAGGCTACCTCATTCCATGGTAACTCTGGAAGCTGGTAAAATTTTAGTGGCTCTGTGTGCTGACGATTCTGAAAGTCATTGCATAGCTGACAGTCTTTGACTAGACTTTCCACTTGTTCACGCATACCGGGCCAATAAAGAGACTCGCGTGCTCTCTGTTTGCACATGGTTGGTGGGACCACAATGCGCATTCCCTTGTACACTATTCCATCCACAACTGACAGCTCGTTCCTAGTATTCCAATACTGTCGGATTGCATGTGGTGTCTCTTCTCTAGTGTCTGGCCATCCTTTGAGAATGATTGTATGTAACTCGTTTAGTTCTGCTGCTGTGCATCTTTGAAATTCTGCATACCTGTCCAGTGTTACTGCTATGTAGTCGGTCATGTTGACCGCTATTGGTTTCATGTCTGGTACTGTGTCTGGCAAATTAGCACGACTTAGTGTGTCACCAATCACTACTTCTTTGCCTGGTTTGTATGTTACTTTAAGGTCATATGGCTGCAACCTTAGTAACATGCCTTGCAGTCTCATCGGTGCTGCTAGTATTGGCTTTGCGTATATTGCTTGAAGTGGCTTGTGGTCACTCTCTACAGTTACTTGTTTACCAAATATGTAGTGATGAAATTTCAGTGGACTATCGCCAACATCTCTTTCTCGATTTGAGCATATCTCATTTCAGTTGGAGTTAGTGCTCTTGATGTGTAAGCGATGGGTCGTCCTTTTTGTAGTAGAACTCCTCCTAATGCGTAACTGCTAGCATCACACTGTATGGTTACTTCTTTTTTTCATCAAAGTAGGCAAGTACTGGGGTATTGCTACACATGTTCACTAATTTTTAAAAACTCTGCTCTTGAGGTTTATCCCAGTGAAAGTCGATATGTTTACTAGTAACTTCTCGCAATGGTGCACCAACTTTACTTAGATTTGGCATGAACTTTGCCAAGTACTGAATCATGCCCAAAAATCTTCTTACTTCTTCTTTGGACTGTGGCCTCGGCATTTCTTTTAATGCACGCACCTTCTCTGGATCAGGTTGGAGACCATTTTCTGTTAATAGGTGTCCTACATATTTTACCTTACTTTTCTTCACTTGACACTTGTCAAAGTTGAGTTTCAGATTCCAGTCTGTTGCTCGTTGTACTACCTTTTTCATTATTGAGTCATGGTGTGCTTCATCTCGGCCAGCTACAAGGATATCAGCCATTACTGCTCTAGCTCCTTCTATGCCACTTAGCATGTTGTCCATTATTTTCTGGAATATTTCCGGAGCACTTTTTATTCCAAATGGTAGTCTCAACCAACGGTAGCGTCCTATTGGTGTATTGAACGTTGTCACCAGGCTTGACTCATAGTCGAGTTTTATTTGTAAGAAGCCTGACTTTGCGTCTATTACAGAGAAGACGTTTGTACCAGCCATCGATCCCACTACCTCTTCTGATATTTTTGTAATATGACCATCTCGTTCCATTTCAGCTAACTTTTCAACTATCCGCTTCTTTAATGCCAGTGGCTGTCACCTTGGGCCATGTACTACTGGTTTCACTGTGGGGTCGATCTTCAGTGAATATGTGCCTGGGAGTGTACCGGTTGTCTTTTTCAACTGCGGGTAGTCGTTAATGCTCTAGATGCGCTGAATCAATTGCAATTGCTTGCTTGCCGGTCCTGATAGCAATGGTGGTTTATCAGTGTTCACAACATAATACAACACATCGATGGTGCGATTCTTGTATGTAGTCTGCAAGATTATGCGGCCTTTTACTTCTAATGCATGACTGGTATACGACTGAAGTTTTTGCTTTGTTGGTTTCATTTTCTGGTAACAGCTTTTAATTTTAAGCCAATTGTATGGCAGGATACTTGTTACTGCTCCTGTGACTATCTGCATGTTCCTTCTACTTTTAATGTTTCATACCATTCACTACAGGTTGCGTTTCCAATAAGCGTGAACAAGGTGTGTATAATCAATCTGATTCATCCGAGGAGTAATTTTCTTCCACTTGGTGTGTACTTTCACGTTTGGTATCTCTTTTTCTACAAACTGCAGCGAAGTGGTTCTTCTTCTGACAGATAGCACATGTTTTATTCTTCGCTGGACATACTTTATGTGTTGCAACATAGACACACTTGGTGCATTTCTTTTGCTTAGTCGACGGTGAGGGCTTGCAAGGCTTGCTTTTATAAGGCTTTGAAATTCCTTTTTCTTTTCTCTGGTAATGTTCCGCCTGTTTCCTAATTACTTTCATACTTTCTTGGGATGTCTCATAGTTTTGGCCTATAGATACAGCTCTGTCTAATGTTAGTTAATCGCCAAGATCTAGACACTTTTGTCACACCTTAGAATTCAGAGCATTGCATACTATGGCATCAACATACGATCTTCATCCGTGTAGTTAGTCCTTTACTAACACCTTTAGGTCTGTTACAAAGTCATCAAACCTTTCTGTTTCTTTTTGTTTCCTTACGTTGAAAGTTGACAGTTGCTCTTATAGTGTTTTTCTTAGGGGCTACATAGGCTTCGAATTTGGCGTACACGCCATTCAAGGTATCATTTTCGGCCGGGTTATCACCCTCTGCTGGAGGCCAAGTGAACGTGCCGTAGACCACCCTTCCCTTGTCTCTAATGTAGGTCATCATGTAATTAACTTTCTCTACTTCCGGCTTGGCCGCTAGCGGGCCTCGAAACGTGAACTCGCAGCGCTGCTTGAACCGTTTCCTTATGTAGTTCAGTTGCTAACCAGTTCAGACAAGGCTTTGACATTATTATTTACTGGTTCGTACTCACGCCTAGACAATTCAAGAATCTCTTTTGATTATGTGTGGTACTTCTGCCTGTTTCAAAATCGGTATTTAAAGACACTTCTGACACCATGTAAGATACGAACATACAACACGAACACCGTCATGTGTGGAGAGCCTGTTAATAACACAACTATAAACTATAGAGGGCGCAGCCCATATATATGACAACCACTACTGTACTAGGAAGGGTATTATTTATAACCATTTACTTACGATTCAAATTTAAGAAAGATAATGAACTACTTAGGCCTAAACATTAGTAAACTATTAGGGTGTGAACTATAGGAAGGGTATTATTTATAACCATTTACTTACGATTCAAATTTAAGAAAGATAATGAACTACTTAAACATTAGTAAACCATTAGGGTCTGAACTATAGAAAGGGTATTATTTATAACCATTTATTTACGATTCAAATTTAAGAAAGATAAATAACTACTTAAATATTAGTAAACCACTAGTGTGTGAACTATAGGCAGGATATTATTTATAACCATTTACTTACGATTCAAATTTAAGAAAGATAGCCTAATAAAATACATAAACATTATTAAACCATTAGGGTGTGAACTGAGTTAAGTACACATTGTACGAATGTCACTCAATAACTTGACATGGCCATTTTATTCAATAAAATGGCCTTGTCAATTTTTGGAGAGTCATTCATACTATTTATATTAAAATACAGTTCCTATATTCATATTTTCAAGTTTACTTAGCTCATCTCCGACAGTAGTGTCTCAATATACTCAAGTTGTGCTTCTAACCCGGGAATATATTATCTCTGAACTTTCGAAGTCCTCGTTGAAAACCCTTGCATGCCATCCAGTAGATAGATGGATTGATGGTAAGAATCTACTAACACAATTGGAAATCAGACAAAAACCACCAAGGACAATAACCACCTAGACTGAAACCACCCAAAATGGAATATACCATTGTTAACTTAGGATAGACAGTGGGGTGGACAATGTTTGGTGGGCTTGTTTTTATGTAGCTTTACAAAAGGATAATACTGCCCCCCCCCCCATGGCAAAAGGGCATAACTGACATTTTTGGCGAAAATGAGTTATATAGCCTAGTGGGGTCAGTACATCATGTTACACATGTTGACACAAAAAAAATTGTAAAAAAGTGTCCCCCGGGCTAGATAGGGGCATGGCAAAAGGGCATAACTACACAATTTTCAGTAAATTCCCAAGGCAAAAGGGCATAACTGCAAAGAGAGGCTGTGATACGCTGAAGCGTGACGTTCTTTCAACAGCCAACCAATCAGAAGAGAGCTTTCTCCCTGGTTACAATGAAGGTTGCATGTTAAGTTGTATTATTTTTATTATTCTTACTGTTTGTGTACTCACAATTCGTAAATAGAAATTGGTTAAATAGTATGATTCTTGACAGTAGCATATGTCTAGTTAATGTTAGGCAAACATGATAAGCCTAGTTAATTTATGCTATATAATCTTGACTTACTTTGAATGGCAACAGTTTACTACTATGGAAATAAACTATAGGAAAATAGTAACTGTTTAATAAAAATAATTAACCATGGCAGAATAACAATTCACATTTTAACTAGAAATAACAGTAACAAATAGGGACAACTAAAACGATTATTTAGCAAATAACTATGGCAAAGAGGCACAACTACAACATTTATTTATAGCAAATGGCATGACAAAAAGGTATAAATGCACAGTTTACTCGAATCAAC